ACCATAAATATAATGCCAGGCAGATACCAATACTTAAGAATTTAAGAACTGGAGAAATTCATTAATGGCAGTATGCCAGGAAGTTTTAACGTAGCATAGTAATCTTTTAGTTGTTTCGATTTTATATCACAAGTTGCACGGGACACACGTACTCAAATTTTTATTAAGAGTTGCTTTATTTCATCATGCTAATATACTAGTGTTAGTGGATCTTGTGTCTGTACTTGCAAGTAAGATTAAATAATGATTTTTATATCCACTTTGAGCAAATTTAAGGTTACTTTCTTGGCTTAATTTCCATTTTAATTTGAGCTTGTTGACTATACGTTTGAGTCTCTCCAAGCAACTGACAGCAGTAAAGAGACCTTACTTTATTCCTTTCTTGACTCAAGTTTAGATATTCACTTCCAATACAACGGCTTTCTGTTTGGGCTGATGCTTCTTTCTATTGCCCGACTATGTCAGGTAAGCTTGAGTGGCTCTGTTCTGGTCGTATCACGTGTGTTTTGGTGCTTTAATTCACTTCACTGTGTTGCTTGTGTTGAAGTTAATGGGAGTGGCTCAAAGCTGAGGTGCGCTAAGGTGAATATCTAATTATTTGTTAAGTTTTGGGGAAGAAGAGGCATTGGAACTCGCCAGAAATGCTTGCTTGCTGATGATGCAGCATTCCCGTTCTCTGTGAGAAAGCTAGATTGTGTGTTATACCTCAACAATGTGGCATGTCTTCTTGCCATGCTATCTCCTTATAAGATACCACTCCTTAGAAAACATGCCTCTGAGCAGCAGAGAGATGAGACCTCTTCTAATTTCCAAGTATCATGTGGCAAAATAGTTTCCTTCTCTCTGTCTGGTGTGTGTGACAGTATTTCCTTTGTAATTTTGACTTGTAATGAAGAAAAAACTCATTTAGCTTTATGCCTGTGATAAATGTTCTATCCGCTAAAGTGTGCAGCGGGAGTACTGTTAAAACCTTGTACCAAAGGAAAAATTGAGAAGTTTGAGGGTTTTTTTTTTCCCCCTTTAGAAAAGATACTTGGAGGGTGCTGCTCTTTTTGCTGTTCTTCTGCATTTCAAACATATCTATGTGTATGTGGCCCCAGCATATGGCATTTATTTGTTGCGATCCTATTGTTTTACTGCAAATAACGCAGGTAAGATGTGTATGTTTCTTCACACACTTTGGGGGGGATCGTGTTTATTAAGTGATGTTTATGGAAGACAAGATAAGCAGATATCTTTATAACAAGATGGCTGTAGGTCAAATGGAATAAATTCTGCTTGGAAAGTAGAGTTGGAAAGTTCTTTAAAGTGTACTTGTTCTTGTAAAATTTATGGGTTTGGAGAGTTCCTTATTAAGTAAAGCCAACATGAACCAACTGCAGAAGGCAATTTGAAGCTATAGGAAGTACTCTGGGTAAATATGGAATGATCAGATAGCATCAGAGGTTATTCCAAAGTCTTCCTTTGAGTTTCTCTTCATTTTTAGCACTGACCAGTGTTTGATATTCCTCACGTGAACAGAGAAGGCACGTCTCTTGAAAGAGAAGATAGCTAAACGTTGGATAAGGCAGAAGCTCCAACGTGGAAGAAGTAAAAAGGGCATACGTTCACGAAGAGCACAAACAAATAAAACCTCTTTTCAAAGCAATGTCATGATACAACTTTCTGATATGGAAAATAATAGTTACAAGCAAACAAATACAGATCTAGTTCTGAAGGGACAGTGGCTGGACAGATGACAGGAGCTGGTTTTAAGCAAATAACTCACTCTGAAAAATGGCTTGCAAAGATACTGTCCTTCTGAATTGGAAGTCATACTAATCTCATGCTAAACTAATCTCATCTATTAAATGATGCTCCTATCATTTAATAGGAATTATTTCTGTTCAGTAAAGTCTTAAATAGTATGCAATTTATTGATCGATAAAAGTAGCCCCATATTCAAGGTAGCACAGTATGTCTTTGGTTTCAGGCCTGTGTTAGTCTCTCACACAATGTGTCCTTCATATGCAGTAACTCCTGCCACAGGCTTCTACTTACAGCTGTATACTGATCCATAAGAAACTGCAGTTTTGATTGTGATCTAGTCCAAAAATTGTCATGGTCTTATTATCATAAGTAATAAGTTTGATACAGAGCTGTATTCTTAATTTACTGATGCCCAAGTTCCTTAGTTAACATTCTTCTTTTAGACTGTTGTACTGTAAAGTAACTATGGAAGGAAGCAATTGAATATATTGATATATATTGTTATAAATGGTGTATATGTGCTAGCAATTCACTATTAGGGTGGAATGTTTTGTTTCCCTCCCCCCTTGCTTTGCTATCTGTATTCATAATCTGTTTGTTTCTTGTAGATGGGTCCCTGAAGTGGAGAAGTTTCAGTTTTCTTCGTGTAACTCTTATAGGATTGATTGTCTGTCTTGTTTCTGCTCTTTCATTGGGCCCTTTCGTAGTATTGGTAATGATTCCTTTTTCACCTTTTATCCCCTGAACTTTTAGAAAACGTAGCGTTACGAAAATATGTCTCCTCTAAAGAGGCCACTTATATTTCATTCTTTTTTTCCTTAGGGTCAGCTGCCTCAAGTCATTTCACGGCTTTTTCCTTTCAAGCGAGGCCTCTGCCATGCTTATTGGGCCCCTAACTTCTGGGCTTTGTACAATGTTGTGGATAAAGCATTAACGGTTGCTGGTACAGTATGCTCATCTTGGTATTTGGTGCTTATTTGTGGATGTAGCTTTATGAATTCTAGTCTTCCCGTCCCATATGAAATCCAGGTAGCAAATTAGATTTTCAGATTGCCTTAAACCTCTTGATAATCAACATAATAGAGTACATGCTAACAGTTTCCAATTGTTAGGTCAGATACCAATCTTACCTCTCTGGCATCTTTTAAAAAAAGAAACAGCTCAGACATATACTTAGTTCAGGTCTGTATTACAGCTACTTTATTTTCTTTTCTTTAACATTCATTAGTTTGTGCTTTTTTTTATCTTCTGTTTCCAGGTTTAAAGTTTAACTTTCTTGACCCCACAAAAATTCCTAAAGCCTCAATGACAGGAGGGTTGGTTCAAGAATTTCAGCATACTGTCCTCCCTTCTGTGACTCCACTAACAACGTTAATCTGTACTTTAGTATCTATATTGGTAAGAACAAATAATGGTTTTGTAAACTTTGTGTCCTGTCCTCACTGGCTTTTGTTTGATTAGCATACGTTCCATGTGAGACTTTAATTCCACGACAAAAACAAAAAAAAATTACAGGAAAAAAGTAATTAGAACTAATGTTGAAGTAATATCTTCTTTTTTTTTTTTGATACACAATATCACTTTCTCAAAATATGACTAAGAGTTATGGCCTGTGTCAGCTCTACAGTGATAATGAGATTAATAAAAGCAATCTTGGATCAAAACCACTCTGCCTACTGAGCTACAAGTAATTTTTTGTGATAGAAGGTAGTTGAACTAGTAATCAAGAGACAGGGGCTGAACAGAGATATTGACGGAATCGTTTGGGAAGCTTGTTCTGTTTCCTAATAGTGTGAGCTACAGGCAAATGCTGTTCTCCATATGAAAAGCAAAGAATTGAAGGTTCAATAAATGCTTACCTGGATACAAAGTCTTTTTTTTGCTCTAATGAGTGATTGTATTGGTCTTTGACCTGAAATATCTTTGTTTCAACACCCTTAGGTAGTAACTCCTGTGAAATGAGTTTAGTGAGTCAGATTCAGAGATGTTTCTTGCAACACAAGTAACAGGGTGTTGGTTGTGCAGCTGAAGTCTGTCAACTTTTTTTCCTGTTATACTGATGGGAGATGTCCTTTGGGCAGTACTCATTATGCACCCATATAGACTCTCCTCCTCCCATGCTGTACAGTGCTTGTGCCATGCAAGCACAGCCTGGGTGCAGTTGTGTTTATTAACGTTGTAAAAGCTCTTGTGGTCAGTAACTTGCGTTCAGGATTGTTAAGCTTTTCACTGAAGTCTTGTTTTTGCCTGTTGTTTCTAGCCCTCTGTTTTCTGTCTTTGGTTTAAACCTCAAGGGCCCAGAGGCTTTCTTCAGTGTGTTGTGCTTTGTGCATTGAGCTCCTTCATGTTTGGCTGGCACGTGCATGAAAAAGCAGTACTTCTTGCTATTCTGCCTTTAAGGTAAGTGAGTTCTGTAAGCTGTAGCTTGCCAATCTGAACCTGCGGGCACTTGTTGAAGAATCATCAAAAGAGGATCACTTAGTTTTCAGTATACATTAGAGAATGAAGATGTTTATAGAATGCCTTAGGCTGAAAAGTTTCGATGCATTTCTGGCAGAACTAACTTCAGCCACCAATGAAAAGCGGTCTTAGAAACAGAACATGCTGACACTAGTAGAATAGCATACACAGGAAACTAGTGTGGTGTTAAACAGTATCTTCTGTGAAATGCTAAGTAGTACTGGCTTCTACTTTAAAATAGCTGCTACTTAGAAGCTCTAAGTAGAGTTTATAGTTACAGATGAGTGGAAGAATGAACAGAGAAGTGTATGATCTTGAGATTATTAAGCAATCAGTTCAGAAGTCTGAGAGACAAGACTGCCCACTATATACTCTCTTCTTTCTCCATTTGAACATTAAGGTGTATTACGATGCATGCAATAACAGGAGATCAATGCCTGTGGATTCAGATGCTTGATAGCCATTAGGATAACACAAAAAACACCTTGAACTGCTCATAGAGGACAGGGATTCAGACTTTAGGCCACATGTGGCCACACAGCCCTTAAAACAATTCATTCAGCTCCCCCTTACAGCCTCCCTTCTGTAGTGACAATATGGAAGCAGGCTTGATGAAATGTTTCAGTGGTGTTGGATGGTGGTTGAAAGCAGGCTTCTTTCTCAAGGTCGTTTTGTTCTTCCACTAAATCTACTGCATTTGTGCAGTAAATCCATTGCACCAGAAAAATCAAGACCTGTTTATTGTATGTCTTCTGACCTTGCCTTTTCAAGAGAAAAATGAATTGGCTTGCCTGGCTTGAACAGTTGGGCATATACTGTCAAATTTGCTAAACCAAGTCTGCATTTAGTGAATGAAAGTCCTGTCCCACCATCTCTTTTGATTACAGATGTGACCATCAGTACAACTGGAAAAGAGTATTTATTGCGTGTCATAAGAGTTTTCGTAGTTGGACACAACCGTTTTGTAGAACTAGTGATGTGAACGAGAGGGAAGAATGGGTGCTGAGACACTTGCATATGCCAAGAAGGCATGGTAGTTAAGCTGCTGAATATGACAAGAAATGAAACTGTTAATATCTGGCTTATTGTCACTGTTTTAGATGTGGTGGCTCATTCATTTCTCAACTATTGAGTAAGGCTTCTTTTACTCGGACATAAAAGCTATGACTGCAGCTAATTCAAGCCTTGATTCTTGAGCAAAGAATGAGGACTGACACTTATGAGTATTAATATATTTAATCGACTAAGCATTTGCAGTTGATCAAGTTCTTTAGTTAGGGCTTGAGATCTATTCTGGCAGGGACAAATGTAAAAAGAACGCAGTCTTTTAGCTGCTGTGCAGATCAAGCTGGTACTGGATGAGTGCTGCGGCTCGTATTTAAAATGTTACGTAGATTGTTTGGGAGCCAACTGAGGAAAGAGACTTTCTGTACTATACTCAACAAAAAACAGTATTTAGTTGCTACCAAAGGAACTTGGGCCTGTTCAGGATTGAAGTAAGGGTATACTTTATAAGCTGACTGACCAGTATTGCTGCAAACTTTCGTTTTGTTCTATTTAGAAATTTATAGTGCTGTTCCTATTCCTTTGCAATAGGAATTTTGGGAGGGGAGGAATTAATACTGGCAAAACAAAATGAAAGAGAGGAAGGAGGGATGATAGTGTTTGCAGCCAGCTGGTAAAGGAAAAAGACTATTCATGGAAATTTTCCATGAACTTTCTGATATTGATGTTCAGTGGAAATGTGGTTTTCTGGGGTTGATTTTCCTGGCTGACCCTCTCCTGCTTTTTATGATGTGGTTTGAAAGAAGATGCCAATATTGGCAGTATTTGGAGGAGCTCGGGTTCCATTTGACTCCCACTCAAGCTGCTCTTCAATTTCTTCTGTTTTGTGTACTGTTTAGCTGAAAATAAATTTCTTTTCTAAAAGATGAAAGTATAACACGCATTCTTGTCATTTTAGCTTGTTGTCTGTTCAGAGAGCAAAGGATGCTAGCATCTACTTGATTCTGACAACCACAGGGCATTTTTCTCTTTTTCCATTGTTGTTCACATTGCCAGGTAAAATGTTTTCCTTCTTACTATACTTTAACTTTTTTTTTTAATTCTTTTTCTTCCTAGAGGTGGCATGTAGGTAATATTTGGTTTTTTTTTTTTTTTTATGTAAAATGTTGAAAGTTGTAAGAGGCTGTATGTCAGCATGTTTCCCTAAATCCAAACTCCCCAACTGGTGAAAGGAAACGTTATTTAAAAAGTAGGGGAAGAGCAATAGACTTAAAGAAGAAAGAGAGAGATGGGAAACTGTTGCAGTAAATATTTCTTACTCCTAGTTCTGTCACAGTTCTAGAAACTTCCCCTTATCTAACATAATCCTGTGAAACAATAGTGATACAGACAATCTGAGATTAAACCTGACAAGCTTCTTGTTTTCCAACCGACTTCATGCCATCTACCAAAAGCATTGTTGCTTGAGAAGTGATTCTAAATTCAGTAACATTCTTGTACATTAAACTAAAGATCCTGCAGCAGCATCCATTTTAACTTAGATAAGAACGTGTAGAGACGGAGCAGATTTGTCTTTGTGACCAGAAACTGTTCCCTTCTCCCCTCTCTCCATTTGTAATTAAGGTCTCTTTGCTTCACCTAACCCTTAGACCATCATAGCTACAACAGCACTGCAACTTCTGTATAATGATTGGCATCCTTCTGATATAGTCCAAATCTAGACATTCTCCTTTTGGTCTGATGATGATGCTTACTGTCAGTGGAGAAGCTGCAGCCCTGAGAAATTAGTAACTTCCTTTGCATGCTCTCTTAACTAGCCTGTATCCAGCGTGCACCCTAGAACTGGATGTCTTTGATTTGGCTTTCACTTCTGTATTTTGCGCTTCCCGTTCAAAAACAATCAGAAGTTACAGGGAAAAATCTTTTTTGCAGTACTGTCATGTATTGCAATTATAATCAGTGTGTTCAATATGTTTGTAGATACTTCAAGTACATGTGTTGCAATGTTTGGTATATTACTTAAAAATAAGTATATATCACATTTATTTGGTGTCCTAAGCAGTAAGACTTTTTGTGCTGTTTGGAGAAAGTAATTAACTTCATGCGACTTTGAATGATATTACTTAGATTTTTGCCTTATAAATTACGATATCTTTATAATTAATTTTAAAAATGTTCCTTGTATTTCAGAACTTCCAATTAAAATACTCCTTATGCTGCTGTTTACTGTTTATAGCTTCTCTTCACTGAAATCTCTATTCAGGTAATTAAACAAACTGCCCGAAGCCAAGAGTGAAACCAGTTCTGTCTCTAGGAAGAGTGTATTGTCATCAGGGTTGAATGGCTTGGGAAATGGATGCTGTCGAAATGAAATATTGCTCATCAAAAGATGATGATATTTCTGTCCTAGTCTCAGGAGGCAAGACTTAGGATAGGGCTGTTATAAAACATCCTTGTTGTGTTTGAATTGGGACAGCTATCCAGTTAGTTACAGAAAATGGTAAATCTACACCTGCTTTGATGCACAAAATGGTAGCTTGTGAGGATTTAATTCAATATTAGAACATTTATTAAACTGAGTACTCTAGAGGTTGTTTATCTGTGCTAGGAGTTGTGAATACTATTGCATTTTGCATTAGGGCTTAGTATTTTCATGTGTGTAAGTGGCAGGCTATGAATAACATTTTCCTGACAAGCCGTAATTTGTCAGCAAATATCTCTTGCAAATGTTTGGTTGTCAAAACATACACTAATTGCCTGAATTCTCCAGTGCAGTGTCACAGGCCACTTATCCTGCACTCACTTGATCAAAGATGGTGCTTATCACTACATCCTCTGTAGTCACTACTATCCCATTTTCCAGAGTTTTCATGGTAAAGCCAAGCTGTAATAAAATAGCTACTGGAAGTGCCATGGAGCTGTGCTTGCTAAGTCAGTCGCCTGGTTTTATAGGTGAC